ACGCAAATGCTCAGGTTAAAACTGCAATAAGCTTGTTAGCGATCCGATCCACAATTTGTAAATGACTTTGCAAGAAAATTTAAACTCGTCTAAAATTACTCCTAGGAAGAATCATAGGTCGTAACCTGTGCAGCCTTTTGGTCATTTCCATCCGACTTTTTCTCACTTTCTTTTCCTTTGCAGTCGTCTAAAGCTGATAATAAGGACAGATAGACGCCGTCATCACTAAAACGACCGGTCTTTTTGAAATCCTCTAATGGAATTCTTGTACATTCCATGATACATAATGTGTGAAACAGCAGTGGAAACGATAACACATCAAATATAATCAACTCTTGAACAATTCAGCAAAAGACATGAATTAACGTGAGCGTTCTTTGATAAGAAAGTGAACTGCTATTGCATAAACCAAGTGCATCGGCACCTAATAAACGCAAATGTGATTTACCTACTCATAATACGCTTACTTGATTACGACACGATTGCTTTGTAGGACAATACAGAAACAAGAAAATGCTAGACTGGTTTTCTGCAACACTTAATATCGGATATTTTCAAATTAGTATTTGTAATTAATAACCAATAAATGGATTCCGTGTAGTGCAGTATTAGAGGTGCTCTACAATACACATGGGTTCGATCCCATGCTCCAGACTCGCCAAGCCTTCCATCCCTCCGAAATCGGTAAACTGCTACAAGACGTGCTTGGTAGGATAACAACATTAACTTGATAGATTGGCAGACCACCGTAGGTCATTTGTATAGGCCAGATATGCATCCAGTCACCTCTAACAATGATGAAGTCGAATGCATGGTGCGTCTCTCAAAGGTTGTTTACCAATGCCGAGATTTTTCAACAATTTTAAAACGGGTAGAGTATTACGCGTTCGTATAAAAGAACATTTAGACGGTAAACCTAAAATTAAACCAAATACTTCACTTGTCGCGCACAAGAAATGTACACATAAAGGGGAAGATTTTAAAGCAGAAGCAAGCAACCTTGTACAGAAATCTAAAACCAGCAGGTAGAACACCTCGTTATCACGCCAGATCTAATACAATCCCTCAAACTAGTATTCTAACGTGAAAAGAGCTCACTGATCATCCATATGAGCCCCTCGCAGCTGGGGTCCATGTGGAATACCCAATGTAAGTCTTACAGAGCAGTGAGTGTGTGAAGAAACGGTTTTAATTCAATGCGATTGAAAAGTGGGAATCGTCATTTTTCTGTTGGAGTTATGGAGATATTTGACTGCCTTGACTGCAGTTAACTTAACCTTTCCAAGCTCTGAAGAAGAAGAAATACGCCGAAGCGTTAGTTGTTGTCAATAAATAGTATAAAATAACAATTTTGTGTATGCCTATTAAGAAAACAGCAAACTACTTAGTACCGAGGTTAGTAGAAAGTTGTTCTTGGGAATTACTACAAGATGTTGTATTTTGTAATAAATATTCATCGATTACATTGCTGCTGCAAACTATTTTAAAGCTTATTTCTTGCCTACCTATTTGCCAGGTAATTCTCTTTCCAAAAGTTTTTATTGACGACTTGTCATTTTTCTCTTTCTGCTTTTTCTACGAATTTCCCACTTTTTTTTACTTTTATACTTGTTTTATATGACTTCATATCATTAATATCTGAATCCCATCACTTCAGTCTGTTGTGAATCCGTCATCCAAATGTACAGATTCACGTATGGCTTCGGATGTCACTTGTGAACTTGATACTATTGAAGAATATTCCCAAACGGTTATCGAATTTATTCTCCGGGATTTCCGGTATAGATCTGTAGAGCGTTACGAGATTTTCACCATCTTCAAGAGGATGTCACCGACCTCTGTGGACAAAATGGAGCTTTTTTCAAGTACAGCTTGGTACCAATTTACCCATACTGAAGGAATGGGAAGCTTAGCTGAGTTAGAGAGGGATTTAACTAGTGAGCATGCGCATACTGCACAACATCCTAACCACTGAACTTCCTGCTTCCATTCGTAATATTTAGATTTTTCACTTTATTTTCTTTCCAATGAACTAATATCGTAGATTATTAGAATCCTAGCATTTCTTTCATACGATTCCATCACATCTATAATGCACAATGTTCTTCGAATTTTTCGTGCTGGTTCGGCTGCTCCATCAGTATTTTCGGTGTTCTTTATGCACGTCATTGGATACGACCCAAGTAGGTTCCCCTAGGAATCCTGTGGTAGCGGTTTTAGGGCGTTTCTAAGTTTGGAGGATCTAAGGCTTCTCGGACAAGTTTGGTAGCAATTCCCCAACCCTAGAGGGATGGTTGGCTTGCTTGCCTGGCGCGAGGTCGACCCTAGTCTTTGAGAGTATTAAACAGCTTTACTACCACTACGCCACTTCAGCCTCAACCTCTTAAATGAATGTACATGATTGATCCCTTATTCTTTCCATCAAGAGCGAAAAGTGTTTAGTTGCATTATCAATTAGTTCTTAGCAACGTGTAGTCCAGGATGTCGTGTAAGAGAATTTAATTTTTCTAGTGACCAACTCAAGGAAAATTGGACGTGCTTTTCGAAAACTTTCTTCGATTTCGAGACAGTAATTTCCCGTTAAGACCATCTCGCAAGGAGAGCTTGCTGGAACAGAAGTTGTGTTATTTTACCTGCCACAAGTGAAGTCATCATAATCGTCCTTTCATGCAAATTTAGCTTAACTGGTCCAGCTGTGCGTCGTAGTAGCGACACAGGATTCAATTTTATCGCAAGTTACATCACGATTAAGAAATAATTCGCTTTCGAAACATAAAAGACGAGAATAGTGGACTGTCGTTTACTTTCCTCATTACCAATTAAGAAGCTTCATCATCTTCCCACACTTTCAAATGGTAAACGAATGTTGGTTGGATAATATCTCCAATGGTTCTTGGAGGCTCGGTTTCGATGATCACCCTCAGATAATCGGCACAACTGCTAATGGTGCTCACCACCGTTTTCATAAATGGATTCAAATCGGCACGAAAACTTTCCAAACATTTACACATCACACACTCGCAAACTGCTCAATAGTTCAATGTTTCGCTAATACTTCGACCTGCCTCCGCGAAAATTGCACAAGTAAGAACTAAGGAACCAACACGATATCATTTTCTTGCCTTTATAGGATCACCCCAACCAGCTCAAAACCCCTGTAAATTAAATGTTGGAGGAAGCGATGGTATGGTGTAGAAACGTATGAAGGAGATATTTATTATTATACAAAGTATCTACAACTTTGCTGATGACAAAACCGACCGTTCTTTTCACATCGACCTAACATCGTTGTGAAAATCCATAGACTAGGTCAACATTTTGGCGAGAAATTGGATTTCTTGACAAATTCGAATAAATTTTGCCAAAAAGTGCACAACGATAATCAGGAACATTACAGATTTAATTATGGTGTAGATTTAGCCTCATAGTATGATAAAGATTTCCATCCAAAATTTTACTTCATTTTTGAAATTTGAAATTGCAAGAATCATTGAAATATCTTAGAAACAGCAAACAACATGACTACATTAAAGGAAACTATCGTACCTGCCCGAAGAGATCCAGTTAACCGAATCTCTTCGTTATCCAAAACATAAGCGTGGGCGGAAAACAAATATCAGTATATTCCAGTGGGTCTTTATTTCAACTCATTTTATTTGCTTTGTTTATTTATTGTTTGTATTTATTATTTCTATTCAACTACGTTCTCTACTTCATTAAAAAGTTCGGAAATTTTTGTCCGATTTGTAATCTCACCTTCCTTGTATATGTTTTAGCAACAGTTTTTTTTAAATGTTGTGTTATTATATATGATTCCAAATCTAACTTTGCGCAGTTTCGATAGGTATAACTGAATTATAGTATAACTTCGTTTTCCAATAGAATCTAAAGATTGGAATTTCAGATAGCAGAAGATCGATTCCAACTAATCTTATTTCTACGGATCAAGCCCGGATGAACGCAGCACAAACGGCTCGAAACATTAATGAGGTGTGGGACAAAGGTGTCAGCGCGCGTAAACTGCAAAGTTGGTTTGGAAAATTTCGTCTTTGCGAAATCGAGATTGCGAATGCGAGGCCCGTGGACGCCCCTTTGCTATTGACGGCGACGAACTGAAGGCTTTGGTGGAGCCAAATGTGCAACACTTCGGGAACTTGCAGAATTCGGCGTAAGCGTCTAAACTGTTACGGAGCATCCAAAAAAGTTGGACATTCGAAGAACTTCGACAATTGAAACCGCACGGATTGAATGACAATAAAAAAAATCGCCGTTTCGAGGTTTACTCGTTGCTTCTTCTACGCAACCAGAACTACTAGTTTCTTGACTGTATTGGGGTATGTGACGGCGACTGGATTCCTTATAATACCCGGAGAAGACAAGCTCAAAGGCCTTATAGCGACGAAGCCCGGCAGCAAATTCGAGAGCCGAAATTGCATCAAAAGAAGGTCACGCTGGAGATTTGTTTTTCTACTGCTGGTTTGATCTATCACATCTTCCTGAATCCGGCAGAAACGATTACACTGGAGAAATACGTCCAGCAAATCAACGAAAAACATTGTAAACTTCAACGGCACAATCCGGCATTGGTTAACAGAAAGGTGTCAATCCTTCACACGATAACGCAAGGCGAAGCTTCGTACAATCGATGCTGCAAAGGTTGAACATAAGTTCGGCTACGACACTACACCATCCACCGCACTCTTCAGAACTGTCGGCTAGCGACATAGCGACTACGAATTCCTCAAGTATCTTGGCTAGTACCTCAGCGAGTCAGAAACCAAGCCTTCAAAACTTCATCGCATCCAAAAGTCCACAATTTTAATGAGCTGGCATAAACAAACGGTTTCTCCACAAAAATGCGTAGTCTCTAATGGTTTTTACTTCGATTGATAAAGTTTGTTTGGAGCTCAGACATGAAGGTTTGAAAATATAGTTTAAAATCGCGTATAACTTCCCCCAGAACCTAGTAATGAAATTCAATATGAGAATAAGTATATCCCCTAAAGCTGGGATTTGAAAATATTTTCAAGAATATCCGGATTGCAACCGATAAGATGGTCGAGAATATGTCGAGGGTTTTGTGATAGTTCAAAGAAAAAAAAGATTCTAAGGCAAAATACCCACCATTTGCTAATATATGTAACAAGCCTGGCGAAATATTCAGCTGCTCCGCCAACTATTCGTTTTTTATCAAAATCTCCAGCAATAGTCTTCTTCAAAATTTTGTCCTTGGTGCCACGTTTTTCACATTCGATCAAAAACAAAACAAATATCAGAAGCGGTAGTTGCACGACTTTCCTGGAACGTATCACACTATGCTCATCACTAGCCTTTAATGAGTGTAATGATTTGAAATGGGCCACAAATTAGTAACAATACCAAAGTCGACTCCAAACATATGGATTGCTTTTCTTACAAAAATCCTCCTAACTGAGATAGTTCTTGATGGAGATCATTCACAATAGCAACAGGAACATGAAGCAAGGCCAAAAAGGGTGTAAAACAACTCACAATCCCTCTGTAGCCAGATAGCTTTTTCGAAACCGTGACACAGCCGCATTTCTTTCGGTGGTAGGAAGAGTACAGATGTACTGATAAGCCAGAGTAACTAAGTAGACAACCAACTGAATCGTGGTCTCTCGCACTTCTGGTCGTCCAAGTATTCCCTATAAGGTAAAGTAAGTTAAAGCTAAAAACTAGCAAAACTTCATAGTCTCCTTCAAAGTGCATGTTTAAACAATATTGCAGATTGTAATGCAATTACAATAAATTGGCCTTTTACGCCCAAATAATCCACAAATACAGCGAGTAAGGAAAAAATAACAGAACGAGCATAAGAACAAGACGTTGGGAAAGCCGCTAACTGTTTTAAATAATAAATTTATTACCGCCTCGAGCACGACGATACAAAGTTGCACAAATCGTTCACAAAGTAGAATCCTAGCAATGTTTCGAAGTGACTCATGCCGAGTAGAGTCAGAAAAATCAGATAACTGGTATGGGATCCACATCTGCAGAATTTTTTCCTCATTACCCAGCATTTCTCTTTCTCTAAAAAAACTGTTTGATATCCTGACAAAAACAACTCTATCCCTTCTCACAAAGAAAAAAGAAAGATTTATCTTACATTTTCTCCACATCCATTAATACACTCGTACTAGATTTTGGATATACAGCTCGATTTTGACAAAAAACTGGACAAAATTCGTTGAAGAGAATCTAAAGGTGCCACGTTTATCAAAAGCAGTTAATAATAGCGTTCAATGTGACTAGGTGAATCCAGTATGTTAATTCATACCTCATTTTTAATTTGGTAAGATCCCTGACGCATTTGGCCACCAGGTACTGCTACTGGTTCAGAAAAATCTGCGATCTATAACTTCTATTCATTTGCCAAATAAAACAACAAAAAAGATACAATGAAAATATGTCGATATAAGGACTTACACTATTCAACACTGTGTCAAAGAGTGGATCCACAATTTCGGCGCCCCTGCTCCCCTTTTCAGCAATGATAGATCGAAGTCTTGAATAGGTGAACGGACCGCTTGCCAAGGCATTTACCTAATATTAATTCTCACCGGCTAAAGTGACAAATGAGGAAAATGGACGAGGTAACTCAAATTTAAATATACCAGGGGAGGAGGTCAAGAAGTAGTGTTAATGCTCCCTTTTTTAATCTATTGCTGTGTTGTACGAATGTACATATACCAGTAATTTGTTTAAGAAAAAAACGTTGCAAAGCTAAACTTACAACTCAACAACCATTCATAAAGTGAAGCATTCCGAAACTAGACCTAATCGTGGTCTCCGTAGACTATTTGTTTAATTTTACATGACCTACGTTCATATCTACTATGCGGAACGCAGTAGTTCATACATTACATTCGTTTTCTAGCATACATCATTCCTCGAACTTCTGAGTGTATGTTCCGCCGCCGGTCGAGGACTTCAACCCTCCTCATGAATGTTATTGAACGCTAGTCTAGTCAATTCTCCCTCGATTCCTCGGATAGCTGTGCTACAGCGTTCCTTCTTGGATGCGAAGGAATGGTTTGGGCTCAAACAAGTCTGGTACCAAGTTTTCAACCGTGGATGGACGATAGCCTCAGTGAGCTCAGGAGGAATTATGCCAACCCCGTTCTTGGTCTTGGCATATTTCATAAGCAATGTCTACTTCTCGTATATAATGCTGAGATATTTGCAAAACTCCGGACCGCAGGTGTATGCGGTGGGGAACGAACACGAGCTCGCCAATAAAACTAGCTGAGAGACAGGCAAAACGAAGGACCCGGATGGTGTGGTGGTGAAGTGCGCTACTCCCCGGTAAGGACAATAGCGCGCGTTCGTTCCCCACCGCATACACCTGCGGTCCGGAGTTTTGCAAATATCTCAGCATTATATACGAGTTACATTTCGCAACAAACCCTGCCATTAAAAAAAGGCAGTAAATAAAAGGGTTACGAATGTCTATTTCTTCAAACATATTCTAACATCGCCTAAAATATGTACGAAATATCGAAACGAGTGATAAGGAAGTGAGCTGTAAGCAAATGATGATTTTTGAACATCGCTAAATTTATTAATTTTCATATAGGACAGTAGTTTCACCAACCATCTCTGAGCGAAGAGCTGCTTCAGTCGATGCACCGCAGTTTGTGAGAAGAACAACAATTTCGCTCATTAGCCTAGAATTTTTGCACGTTTCATGTTTAATATTATATAACGGATTGAAAAATTTTGCCTAAATATGGTAACGTGCCTACTTTATACAAGCAAACTCGGTTATGAACATTAAAATGTAAAATAAAATTAAAATGTGTCATAACAGTTCAACATACTTATGATGAAAATGCTTGTGGGCTGTTTTCTATCGAGCAAAGAAACTGTCAGGGAAAACACAACGTAAGAGTTAAATTGATCACAAAAAAAGAATCTGGATGTTCACCAACATTCGTAATATACACGATTCTTGTTCAAAAAATGTGCATATCCAAGGTGCGCAAGCAAGTCGTAAGGAAAACTTTTCACTATTTACCCATTAACTCATTCGTGGTGATAGCGAGTTTCTCAACTGAAAACAAATTATGCTGGTAACAGTGTTCCATCATTTTATTGTGCTTTTCACATTACAATTCGCGCTTCTATGCGATTTGACAGTGATTTCACTGTTTTTATGTATCCCTTATGTTCCTCTGTGCTTCCATACTTCTAAAACAACTCCTGTCTTTGAAAACAAAGTGCTCAAAAACTCGTTAAAGCTCCGTCCAATTGTAGCACCTTCAGCTTTTGGTAACATGCCTCACATATTATTGAGTAGATCCCCGTACTTTTTCATCTCCATGCAACCCGTATTACATCCATGTTTCATTATAGCTACTGGAAATAAAATAACAACTAATTATTTGTCAAAAGTTCAACTTCGTATGTTTAACACAATGGACAATGCTAATTTCTCGATTACTCCGATTAAAGTTCTTGAGGAACTGAACTGTTAAAAAAGTTTGGGGACAGAGCTTGCTCTATCGTTCTGTCTATAGATCTCGCCATATACTTTATCATTTCATAGGATAACTATCAATATGTTTCAGTTGATAAAGCTCATTGTGAAGTGTTTGTTAAACATTTTCTTCGGTAAATTTCTTGTCCTCAACAGATAACTTGTCGAAGATAAATGTACTAAATGTCTCATTGAGAGATACTCTCTGAACATACCAATTCACAATAACTGTTCTCAGGAAGACCAGATTTCGCAGGCAAAACACTATTATCGTTAAAGAAGGAACAAAAACGTGTCTGTATGCTTAAAAATTGGAAGTAGACACTTAAGCAGATCTTTTCTATAGGATGGCAAACAATTACGAAATTTCTTCAAAGTAACTCGGTGTTCATTGAGTACGCATTCCTCCTTGTGCTTCAGCAAAGTTTCTCTTTAGAAGGACTTTAGAGTCTTATTACTGCACCCGTTATTAATGTTTTCAGCTTGTAGTAATTCCCACGACCGACTTTCTATTAACCTCGGCAATGACCAAACAGTTTTCGATATTCTTGTTGAGGAAACAAGATCGTGTGATTTCTGTGTGTTAACGAAGCATAATAAATTTCATATCAATATGCTCTTCCAGGTTCTGAAGAAGACGATACTGCCGAAACGTCAGCTTTAACGGAATAGAGCACAAAGTAACATCTCGTGCTTGCTCAACGAGAATACAGAGAACTGTTTTGAACTTGCTCAAAAAATTTCACTTAACTGCTTCGTTCACAAGTTACATTTCCACGTACTATTTACACTCTTTAGAACTTATGACATATACAATTAACAATCATTTTGCGTACTACTAATAAAAAATCTAAACAATCCATACACTTCAAAATTTTTCAAAAAACTTCACCTTTCGCAAGCATTACTGAGACACTACTGAAACAATCCACATAGAACTATTCGCTGCACATATTTCACAGTTTCAACACAGTTTCTACGTTCGCCACCATATTTTGAGTCCCGTACCCTTGCTAAGAGCGCAGTGGTTGGAGGCACCCCCCAACACAGATGCGATCGACCCCGCGCCCAGGGCTCACCAAGCGCTCCATCACTCCGGAATCGGCAAAATGGTACCAGACTTATAGCATTACTAGCTCGATACACTGATAGGCCACCGCGAGTCATTGTAAAGGCCTAAAGGCCTGATACACATTCAATCACCTCCAACGATGTTTGATGACGTCAAATGCATGGCACATCCCTCAGGGGTTAATCAACGCCGAAGACTTTGTCATTATCCCTTATTCATTATTCTTGCTAATTTCTTACAGTAGCAAACATGCTGCCTGTATTTCCGAGGTCTCATACGGCTCTGATTGTGTAGCTGTAGGTATTCCAAATTCCGAAATCAAAAATCTAAAACGAATCATGGAATCACTATTCACCTATACCGCCTGCCGTCTGGTGGCTCGAGTGAGCGCCAGTAAATCTACCACTCTATTCGCCGTCGCGTTCAAGAGCAGCTCCGTAGGTTCTGCTGACTCCAGGAACCGGTTGAGCATCACATACTTCTTCTAGGGTTTGACCATGCAATTGGTGGTCTTCTTGTGTTTTTAACATAACGAGAAATTCAATCTCTAACTGCTCTTGCTCATCGGTTACTGCTGATACGCACAACCTGTTCGGATCACCTTATTTTCGATACTTTGGAGCATAGAACGGCATTTTTGATTTTCGGTCATCGAAGCAGATCAAGCTTTGAAACCCTTCCATCACTTGTGTGGCACGGCATACTTCAAGCATCGTCCTTACGACTGTGTGTTCAATAACGCTGAGTCACCTCTCATCCTATTTAGGCAGCGACCAGGTTTCTGACTCATACGTTAAGGCGGGAACAATCGTGGAGTCGAAAAGGCGGGCCAGGAGACGGATGTTCTTTGTTCCCTTCACAACGTTTTCGACGGTCTTGAAAATTTCCCAACCTCCTCGCTTCCTCCTGCTCAACTCTAGAGCTAAGTGGTTCACCATATTCATTTATCATCTTATACAGACGTAACTAGAGCATTCGAAGACATTCCTTCCGACGAGCGCAATTGGAGCATAAGAAACAAATCCGTTCTTCATGAACATCGTCTTTGTAAGATTTAGTCGAAGACCAATCTTTCCACAAGGTTTATCAAAGTCGGCAAACATTTGTCCTGGCTAATGTTTTTGTAATAAAAACGATGTCATCAGAAAAGCGGAAATGGTGTAATTGCTAATCGTCGATTTCAACTCTCACGTTATCCCATTCCAGTCTTCCCATGTTCTCGAGTGTGGTGAATAATTTTGGTGACATGGTATTGATTTTCCTAACCCCTCTTTTGACGTCAATGCTAATACCGTTGTAGGATGGTGATATCCTGGTTATTAAACTTCTATACTTTTTACGATGAACATCATAAACACTGAGCAGGAACTCCTTCACTATCCGAGAATTCCATGACTGCTTCTATCTCAGATTAGTCAAAAACAGATTAGTCCTATAATCGACGAAATTGAGACACAGTGGTCTTTTGTATTATCAGGACACTTCAATGAGTCTTTACATTTTTGCTGAGCAAACACGAGGTGTTATTTGATTCTTTATTAAAGAACAAGCTGACGTTTCGGCGGATTTCGCCTTCCTCACAGCCTGGAAAGGTCAAGTTGACTGCAATCTACCCGGCCGAACACCTCCACAACCGAAGAGAGAAGATGCTAAACAAAGATTTCAATCACATTGAACACAGAATAGCTTCTTCGCACACTCACCGCTTTCTATGAGTCTTCCTCTAAATAGGTCACATGGAGACCAACCGCACAGAGTTCAACATGGAAGCGTAATGTGCCCATCCCATCAGAAAAACAGGTTTATATACCGCCCGATATCACGTGTGATAATGAGGCATTCCTCCCTGCGGTTCATTTTCGGATTTTTGGGACTAATCCAGAAAGCCTCAAGAGTTTTGTGCGCTCGTTTCTTCGATTCCTGTGCGAGGATCGCAACCTCTATCTCAAAATCCTCCTCGTTATGTCTCCTATGCGTTCCTAGTAGAGTATTTGGTTTAAGTTTACCGAATAGGTGTTCTTTTATACGGACACAGAGTGGTCTACTCGATTCGCCAATGTATTTGTCTCTAGACGCTTTACAAGAAATCAGATAAACTTCACCCGAACTCATGCAATCACCGTTTCTATCTTAGGAAAATTATGCAATATTGCGTTGCACATAGACGGTCATCTAGGCGATTACGAACTAGCTGGCGTCTAAGAGTACTCAGTGGCCTTCAATGAGTTTTGCTGTTGTATGAATATGGTCTACCGTACTGAATCCTTTTCGATACCCTATTTATTCATACAGCTGTCCTTCGTTTAGTGTTCTGTCAATCCTGTTGTCTCTGCCTCATGCGATTCCACGCTGGCGTATCAGCCTGGGTGCTTGTAGAAACAGACCTCTCCTAGCGGCTTTCAAACTCTGTTGAATGAGCCGTTCACATTCTTCGTCGATCTTATCGAGAATGGCATCTTCCCAATAGCCTAATGAACTGGATAAATCACTGTTTATAGTGATTTTGGGACTTGGCTTTTTTTTGAATTCAGCGGCTTTTTCTCCTTTCCGCGAGAAATAGAATCTTGCACGAAGGAGACGACGTCCTGATCCCGTGTAGAATTTTGGGACAACAGCGACGTTTGTTACACACAACTTTCGATTTACTCCGATGTAGTCTATTTCCTCATGGTATTTTCCATTAGGAGACTCCTACGTCCAGCGTTGAGAGCGGGGTTTCTGGAATTGCGTGTTACCATGAATGGTCTTGGTTATTTTTACAAATCTAGACAGCCGCTCACCCTGATGGTTCCACTCCAATCCGTGGGTGCCAATAAAAAGTTCTTGAGAGGATCAATCATAGCGTTAAAATCTCCAACCTTGGAGATTACACGGCCGTCTCTGTAGAACTTCTTCAGTGCGTAAAGAAAGTTCCATTTTCGGCTTCGCCAGAGCTTGAGGTCGGTGCGCAGATGAGGAGGATTGTCAGAGTCGATAATGATTCACATTCCGCTTAGGGTTGTTAGTTGCTCGAATGAATCGATGTTCTTGGACAAACTCGTGTTCACGAGAACGCCGACGTCGCCGACTCTTCTCTTGTCTCACGCTTCGAGGAACTGTTCTTCCCTGGTGTTATATCCGGTCTCGAATGGGTGTCGACTTCTCGTCTCAGCCAATCCGATGAATTCTTACCTTATCCTTCTTGGCTGCATGACCAAGTGCTCGAGAAATATCGAGAAATCAGATGCAAGTGTGCATTGTAGGTAGATTATCACCTTATCTCTTCGCGATGTAGGCAGCCAATAGTAACGCTGAGAATTCGAAGACTCTTTGAGGGTCAAAGGAATGAGGCCCATTACTGTGTTCAGCGTCTGATAGCAGCTATACCTTGGTCAGCTCTGAACGTGGAGGATGGATATGCTCACAGATAGCTTGCCAGTCTCTCCCGGAATATAAATGGAGCCTATTTGTTGGAGGTGAATCATAAACGCCTCTCACATACCTCTTAGTCACTAGGTCAAACTCGCCTCAGGGACGCAGAAGGTCGTTTTTTGTCCGCGATTAACCTACTCTTCGTCACATGATAATGTGTTTCATTGCCTCACGATTAAACGGCAGGAGATCCCACTGTGAAGAAGGTACTTTTCATACTGTAAGAAAAAAAGCTTGTCAAATGCTGGCAGAAATGTGGTCGGATCGTGGACGAGTTATTTCATCACATAGTAAAGAGGAGTATAATTAGAAAAGCTAAAGGTACAAGTAAGAACCTACAAAAACGCAGTATACGAGAATTACAAAGATTATGGATTGTGCTTACTTATAGAGACACTTCAAAAAATGGAGATGTATTTAAGTGGGTACTAATGAGTATAGCTGAAAAGGAAAGCATGTGAATATCGATGATTGGTATAAGGGTTTCTCCTTGGACGAAAACCTGGTCCAGAAAAGTGTTCAACTGTGGTGAAACCCTTACGAGGGCAAGGAAAACACCTTTCATTATGTTACGATGATGTCTACACCTGCCTTTTTGAAAGCTCATCAAAATCGAAAGTTGTCCAATGCTTCAGTTAAGAAAAGCTGGTGTGCATAATAAAAATCCCATTGGCATCACATTCTTCGTAAATCATAGAAGACTAAATAGTAAAATAGATATTTTCTATATTGTATTTTTCCGACAGTCCTTATAGGAACTATTCATCAAATAGTTCCTATTTTCCATATTAGTCTATGTTTTTTGTTCACCTGAAACTGTCTTAAATCTACCTTCGCATCTTCTCTAAATTGCCTCAGCCACTATTTCATGCAGTTGCCTCGCAAGTGGCTGGAAAGAGATCCTATAACTTCTTTCAATAAATCGCTTTTCTTTGTCCGACAGTTCGGGCACTGAATCAGCAGCAGCCAGCTGAATGCACTTTCTAGCATCTGCCGTCCCAAAGAAATTTCTTAACGAGCAGTTGCGCCCTTTCACATGTAGCCCTATCAGATTGTGCTAGTAGAAAAACCATGAGAACCTCTCTCTAGGCGCTGTCCTTAGTTCCCTCTGGTAAAGCTCCACACACTACAGAAGTAATACAGACAGCCCATGGCCATTCGTCAAGTGTTCGCAGTGCTCGTCGTGTCCGTCCAGTTCGTTCATATCGCCTAACTCGTCCAAATACTTCGCTCTACTGTTATTGTTGTTATTTCTACTATTATCATAAAAGTTCTAACCCAGCGTTCGACTCAGCGACAAACACACAAAAGACTCACGTGGCAGCCACAAGGACTAATATTCACACCGACTTGGTATTCATATAAAATTGGAAGCTCAACGCCGCAACAATGCTTCTTGCGAGTACTCATTTCACCAACAACAGTCTTTCACTGCAGATGAAGACCCATATATTGAACAGTTCTGTACAACTTATTGTGAGCAGAATGCTTCTGGGCTGTACACATGTGCTGGATCACTTATCGACTGTTCGTAAAAGTATAGGAGAAAATCGACGTGCGATAGGTATAGGTAAAACGCCATTAACACCTAACGGAATGAATGGAATTCAATCCATACCAGCCAACAAGTTTCTTACGTGTGAAGTGATATCAACTCACGTAATAGCGAGTATGAAACTTATAAAAAGATGTGCAAAATTTCCCATTACGTATAGGTTCTACTCTCACTAAAATAAAATCTATTGTGCTAAATATAATTGGGAGAGATTTCGGAAAACTCGACGCTTACCGTAGTGCGGAAGCTACCATTGGATCGACCCATTCCATCCTGGTGATCACATCAGCCAAGTCTTCGTTGAAAATATACGCTAGCTCTGGAAGGTGCTCAAGCCCCACACCTTCACGTTCCACACTTAAAAATGAAATGCAATTCTTTGAGGAAACGGAAAAATCGCAGGAAAACAGCATCTCTAAGAAAGAGTTTACGATTTTTAAACATACGATGAAGAAGGAGTCACACGTGTGTTATCACTTTTGTTGAGCTTTCGGCCGCAAAAAGCATTCATAACCACATCGACCTTCCCCTGAAAAAAATTAGAATTACAGAAAACTATGAAAACTTGTTCTACGGATCTTTCTACTTCTGTTCAGCAAGCACGAGGTGCTATTTTATTTCTTTATTTACGCACAAGCTGACGTTTCGGCGGATTTCGCCTTCCTCAGAGCCGCTTTCTATGAGTCTTCCACTGAGTATATCGCGTGAAGACCGACCGCACAGAATTCACACGGAAGCGTAACATTACGCTCATAGAAAGTGGCTCTGAGGAAGCCGAAATCCGCCGAAACGTCAGCTTGTGGGTAAATAAAGAAATAAAATAGCACCTCGTGCTTGCTGAACAGAAGTAGAAAGATATATTCAATCAATGCCGAGGTTAATAGGAAGTCGGACTTGTTCGACGGATGTTTCTCTACCTAATAGAAACAACAGAACAGAACATACAACACAACACCAAAATCTTACTGGCGGTAAATCCTTGAGAATAATCTTGATCTGCTCTGCACACCTTTCCCAATTGGAATCAGCAATATCGTCCGGGGTCGCACGACCAGTACCTGTGCTAGCTTCGTTCAGTGACAAAGCAAAAAATCGCGCGAAAGTTTCGTACCTTCGAAGGAACTTCTTTGCTGACTAGGCGAATCCATATCGCTATTGTGGTCTACATTTTCGTTGACTATTGGGAAGCGAAACACATCGATTAAATGGAAGTTTTGAATCAAAGTGTCAACAAACCAGTCCGGGTCCACGTTTGCGGCACAATACCTGAGACGTTCAAAAACACATTAGGAAGCATTGAAACTAATTTACAGTAAACAATGGGCTTCACCTGATAAGATCTATGTCGGGGATTTGAAATGAAGTGTTAATATGAGGCTGTGCGTAAATAATTGCTTGCACGCGCAACTGATTTCCATTACGAACCCACATTCCAGCATGGTATTCAGCACGTGCAACCTTTAAGTACTTGTTGATCAATACAGAATTTAAAATGCTTTAAAAAAGCATGCTTGGTTCTGATACTTTGCAATAATTCGAATTGTTTAGTAACTTAAAACTTTGCGGCAACCTGAAAACAAAACCACCTATACTTCCTACTCGAATAGCACGTATTGACGAATACAACCCCCAGCACGATTCCCACTGGACAGCTATCACGTTAATTAGCTCACCCTTTCCATGTAATCCTCAAACTCTAGTGTCAAGAAGTTCCCATATCTTTATCACAGGCAGTATATCCACTCTTCTGAGTCAGAGGAAAGCCTGGTGTTATATTACTAGGCTTCATCTAAGACGAGGTCGAATTTTGACACTTGTCTACACTCATAATTCGTCGAAAGACAACAACTTTCCCTCTAATCACCAAGTCTCCGTGGTGAAACAGTAGCATCAAAGTAAGGCTATCTTAAGATTCCACGAAAAAAAAATTTTTGGAAGAACTCTTAGTTGCTGAAAACTTCAACGTCAGATTAAGAAAACAGTGAGTTAGTAAAAATTTTAAAAGAAAAATAGGAAACTTTGCAGTGGGACACTGAAATGAGAACGGAGAATGTGTTGCTACACCCCTGTTGATGGCATTCCATGCATTCCTCTTCAATGGAAATTTATTCTTCGTGAAGAATGAATGTCACGCATACATACTGGAATCACCAAACGATAGGACACATACGGAGATCGACCACACCCCTGCAAAACAGAAGATGGTTCCTGCTTAACAGCTCTTTTGTCATCCCGTTCTGTATTAAATTAGACCATTATGGCATTCTTCGTGCCAAAATTCGATTCAACCGTAAGTTCGGCATGAATAAGTAGTCGCTAAAACAGAAGGAAAGTCGTGCATGACGAGGATATTTTGAACGAAATTCAACATGACATAATCAGCAATTTTAAAAAGAACCAACCCAAGACTACGATGCACCAATCAAAGGTATTGAAAGACTTAAAAGCTGCGTCGAACACGCTCTCGCTCCCCAATAAAGAAATTCAAGTTGAATTCCCAATACCATACTCCCAATGTTAGACACCTAGCACGATGATAATAAATGAAAGCTACAGATCTCTGAAAACATGAAAAGCTGATAGAAGCAGCCAAACAAAAAGTTCAGAGAAATGTCGTTGGCATCTATGCGAATATAACGCTATCTTGTTTCCTTATCGACCATAGAAAGAACTGATTACACCACCTCCCGCAATGGTGGAAGTCCACAATGAGGAAGTTCTAATCCAGCCTTACCCGTTCCAGGCTTCTGTTGCAGACCTTAAAATCTTTGCTAGAGAAAAAGCACCAAAGTCGGACTCACAACTGAGAACATGGAGAAGGGTACAGTTCTAGGACTACTACGACAGACCTCAAGTTGGAGGCCAAAAAGCACACGCATACCTGGCAATCCATCTAATAATTAATGTCATCAAGAGGAAACGATCTCTGAAATGGAAGAACTCACACACGGTCATCGAATATTGTCTTAACATGCATTCGGACATTAGCTGAAATCAAACATTTCTGTAAGTAAAATTCCTACAGCGGCTTTACTGCAAGATCCAAATCGAGACCGTAGCTATAGGCATAAAAATTGAAGCAGGCATAACCTGCCCTCCATCTCAATTGGTACACTACGAAGACCATTCGACAACTTGGAAAAAAACCCGTCCGATGAGTACTCATCGACCGAGACGTGATCACATCTTAAAAAGAATTTCAGTTGACTGTTATCGCAAATGCCCGTCGAGAATACAGCTCTTTCAATGACTCTTTACCATAGATACACAAAAACAGTTAATACGGGATAATATAATCTCGTCAAATGTGTTCACCACCTGCACTCAGTAGATAACAAGGTCGCTAGATTGGGGCGAAAAAAGCATAGGCACTAGTGATAAATTCCTATCAAAACTCGGTTCAGGGAGAATGCATAATATGTGCAACACTAAGTGAATCAAAATGAGTGATCCTTCGATTACAGAGACCATTCCATATACAAGTCCCTAGAGCGTCCAGTTATTATAGAAAACGAGATGAAAGAGAAGTTCTGCAAAAAGAAAGCAGCATGAGCAACATCTAAGTCTGTTAGGCAAGACATCGATCAACGAATGGACATGGAACTCTCGGCCCATTTTTTCGAATCAACGGTTCTCCCAGAGTCCTAATATCCAGCTGAGATATGGATTGACGCACCAACCATGTTGTTCAGAATTTTGGGCACAGACTTGAACGATATATTCTAAAAAGTAGGCGTCACACATACTATCAAATCAGACTCAGTAGGTCATGGCTTCAAATATTATCTTGTTTTCAAGATCCAGAGAAATATACATGGAACATGATAGACATACAGACCCATCAGGAAAGAAAAATGAACCCCATTACAATGCAACCGTGCTGTACAACGACCTTTTACGAGATGGATGTAAGTGGCTCACGATAATCATCCATATCGGCGGCTATAAATGTTTTACGAATCACCCAATGATACCCGCACACGTCATCATACTAGTAGTTGAGCACCACCATGAATAACGATACAGATATAGTGATATAAAAAATAGGATAAAGCTCTCGGCGTTAACCAGTCCCTCAGGGACGCGACATGCATTCGATTTCATTAAGCATCGTTGGAGGTGATTGAATTCATATTGGCCTTTAGAATGACTCGCGATGGCCTACCGATGTATCGAGCCGGTAATGCTATCCTCGCAGACAAGTCTGGTACCAATTTGCCGAGTCCGGAAGGATGGAAGGTTTGGTGGACCCTAGGTGCGGGGATTGATCCCATGTGTATTCCAGGGCGCTTCCGACCACTGCGCCACACGCGCCCAGTATAAAGTAAAGTATAGTGGTATAAGGTTAGAAAATGTAAAGGCTCTTGCACGATGCAAGACTGAAATAGGATGTTAAAGTATCCAAATAGTATGTAACTTTCAACCGAAGCACTGAGAAGTGTATGAAAGTACACTTCAACGGCTAAAACAGATGTTGCCGTAACGCATTTAAATCTTGAGAAGACGCATCTTTTAAGGACTAAACGTTGATTGTCATTTCAAACCTGAATCTTAAGAGGATGCAGCAGAATTCGACGAAGAAATTGCTCGTCCTTGCGAAAATCTTCAACGTGATTTCGAAAAAGTTCCATGTCGTTGAAATGTGTTAGTGCTGTTGAAAGATGCCTTAAATATCAGATCAGCGGTAAATTAAACAACAACAACACGCTATTGAATGGAATAAATACCTGTGTAGAGGCAAATGGAATGAGACACAGTATTTCGGACAAATCTGTACTTCACTGGTGGTCCAGCCTCCAACAGCACGAACCCACCGCTGAGTTATGTAAGATATTTTGGTCAGATCAAATCTCTTCTCTTTCTTTTTTTTTTTGAAAAAATAGCATTCCCATAAATAAGCTCTAGAAGTGGCAAAATAAATACCGATAATGCAGCAAATATTTTGTCAAAAAATGCGACAGCAGCAACGTAATGTTGTTGTTGCGATATCGCATTAACAAAATTGAACATGGTAAGAGCAAGTGCTTCGAACTCCAGTGTGAAAGACCTATAACGAAAACCCATGTATTCAACATTAAAGCATTTAAAACTTCATTCTGAAATGAGCGGAACTTCCATTTGCACTATCAAGAACATAGGTTTTTTCCAGTAGAAGAATAGAAGAATATAAAATTTGTATGTATTATGTATTGTAATGTATTTAGCTAATCCATAAATGTACCAAAATCTCAAAGTTCAGTACATGGAGCTATTCTTGAGTGTCGTGTCTCGAAAACCCAAAAGAGAAGATTATTTCAAATGTTTCTTCCAAATGTTTCACAAAAGTTCGTGTTTCCTGAGCGATCAGAGACCACTGTAAGTCGTGATGGAACATGGGGATAAATGGTGACTTCACCGAAGTTTGTTCGAGTCACACGATGATGTGATCACAGGTAATATAAGTGAGAAATTTCACAAGATCTATAATTTGGTAATCACCTCCACCTCCCACCACCACACTGCTCGTTCAAAGTAATAAAAGAATATACAAGAAAACGGAGACCATAATCATGAATATGTGGTCATTATGCACAAAAGTTTTCGTAAAGTGTTAAGGATGACTCGCCTTTGCACAAGATCGGCGTTGTCATTTTCTCTATGTTCACCACGAATAATACGCCAGTTAACATTCATTCCTAAGAATAAACGTTCAAGCTCAGACGGTTATTCGCGAATAAGCCTATATGCGAAATATCGATTAAAAAGACAGAAACTCTATAACGACTAACCTTGCATTCTGTTCAAAAGATTAACATAAGTGCACGAAAAAGCAGTCGGATGGAGAACTGTGTCAATAGCTACCGATGAATGAGCTAGTAGATTCTGCAGGTCTCCCATAACAAACCAATACCCATGCTGGTTCATAGTCTATAAGAGTTACCACGTTGTTCTCAATGTATGAATACAACAGCCTAACAAAAATGGTTCTATTCACTGCCTATTAAAATCTTTCATGGAAGGGTATTATGTGTGGTACAACTACAATGATACTGATGTATAGGCAAAACTCCGGAGCAAAGGTGTCTGCCGCGAACACGCTACTACACTTTTCAGAGGTTAACTTGTTCACCGCCACACCATACCGGTCCATCGTTTCGCCTATGCCTCAGCTAGTTTTCTATCCAACAATATCATCAGCAATCAACCTTAAAGGGATTGATCTGAATAGCATAAATAGGCATTGAGCACAGTTAAGCTGAGGTTGTAGTCGAAATCACAATGTTACCTCTCTATTTACTGCCTTTTTCAATTTTTTACAGCATTGTTAAATTAGCTGAGAGAAGGGCGAAACGAGGGTGCAAGAAGGGTAATAGCATGTTCGATCTCCACCGCATCGAAGGATGAATAGGAAGAATCAGATTTCTCACTCCCAAAATCATATCTCTTGGAATAAAAGATTAATGCTAATAAGGCATAATGTTGGACCTCGCACTTCTTAATATCATAAACAGCATTTTCCTAATGTTCCTATTAGATTCACATCATTAAGACCAAAATCATATGAACGAACCGCATTTTTCTCAATAACCATCACATCCCAGTCGCTTCGGTTCCCTTCAAGTTGTTTTCCGGTTGTGCACCATATGAAGAATGGATCTAAAGGAAATAGTGAAGGAGTCCACCTAGAATACACAAAAACCTCCCCTTACCCAGAGTCATTTCCGACTTCTCAAGATACTCGTTAAACAAGTAGCAAGCCGTATTAAGAACAATGTTCACTAGATCGCACTTACTGTTCAGCCTCCTACAGAGTACCTCTGACGACAACATCTGAATACGTCGCACGATTGATACAAAGATAATTGTATAAAACAACTTAAACAATCTTTTAAATGGCAAACAAAAAAGCTTTGCCATAGTTAAACCTTCCTTCAACACTATTCGCAAAAAAGCATGGAATACCTGTATTCGAGCTAACCTTGTGATAACCTACTTACCTGATACTTGGATGGCACGTTTTCACTGGTTGTACGGGCCCCAACATAATTTCCATCGTTTTGGAGCTGTGCTGGTTGTGGATCCCTGGAGTCCCGAGGACAACCTGGCGAAAGTCTGCCCGAGGTCGTCAACAGTGACCGCCCTTGTGGATCAGTCGCATATTTGCCACCATGCGACTACTTTGGTACCAAGACGGTGGTGGATTCTGCTATTCGTTTACTCGTAGCTGGGTTGCTCGATGGAAACGCTGGACATCTTCTCAGCTTCGGAGACCCTGGTGGGGGATGAATATCCCCGTTGTACATCGCATCCCGACACCTAGGAACACTTCCCAGCCACGTTGAAGCGGTAAACCGTTGGGAGGAATCTTGTGATAACAAAGTGGGAAAACTGTAATAAAAATGACACATCTGCAGATCTATCACCTGAACGGAAATATGAATCAGTCGGCTGCAAGTACTTTGGATAACGTCAGAATTTCTTTGACGAAGCTGCTGATACAAACAGAGTTTCCGCACACAATTCGCTACCAAAGGATACCATGTGAAAAAACGAGTTGAAAGAGCGTCCTGTATAGAAATAGATGTGTTTTGAAGGTAGCGGGCAACGAAACAGAGCTCCTAATAACGACAGATTCAAAAATAGCACTGACAATCACTTGCCGTATAATTCGGTTCGGATAGCATGCTAAGGGAGAAATTTATAAGGTTTTGTGGAAAATTCATTCGAGTCACCCAGAATAAAAGCTCATCAAGCAAGCACTCGCATCTGTAAAACACAATGCGTTGCACAAATCATCATACGTACAATTACATTCAAATGAATAATACTCAAAATATCGTTTTGTAACACCCAATTTTCAGGCTCTTTGAGAGAAATATTTAACTGTCCTTGTAACTCACATAAAATAAGCTCAGGAATGGGGTGCGACTAGCCCAGTAGTAAAGATACCGTTCAGTACACGAAGACCTTCGTTCGACCACGCACCGTTCCAATCTAACCTCCCATTGCTCCGGGATCGTGAAACTGGCAGTACCAGACCCATCTGTAATCGCTCCTTCCAGTCGATGGAAGCAGGCAAATATCTGTGAAGAAGATCTGTGAACGCCTTAGCACATCTAATCCTGCATTCGAGGGAAAATTCATTCAAAGATCTTTCAACAATATTCAGAAGACTAGAAATCCTCCTGCTGCATGCATGCGTGAAAATCTGAAAACCACTGCGGATAATGGATTCGAAGGAACGAATAGAATCCAAGCGCTGGAGCGCTAAAGAATGTGTTGTTAGGTGGTGTAAAATAAAACAATAAAGCCTATGAATCATGATAGCCTAGAATAAGCCTGTACCCAAAACAGAAAGAAAATTTCACCAAACAACTACTCTTCGGAATCTCAAGTCTAAATCTTTCATAATATTTCTGTAATGAACTGAAACGTGATCGATTTTTCGACAATTTATTCGACCCGAACACGTTATTTACCTTAGTAAGTGCTTCACAAATTATTTTTTATACTTTACTGCGCAAGACCACATGTATTGCGTAGATCACAGCATTTCCATTCGATTCGTTCCGTCGCATCCATCATACACTGAGGTCTTCGTGCTTGTGATTGGGTTCGGTCTTCCTAATTTTCTTTACGAATTTCGATGAGTGTTGCTCGAGCCAACTCTCCCTGGTATGCTGAAACAGCCGTTCTAAGGCTTTCCCAGATCTCTGCCACACGCAGTCGTAAGATTTTGTGGATAGGAAGGAGTAGGCTGATGGCCTACGAGTTTGACACCAATCCACCCATTCTTAGGGGATGAGACGAAATCGAACCTTCTGTGTATTGAGCGGTATTAGTGCTACTGAGCTAACCGCATTTCTGTGCACCAATAACTTTTTCACGTCGGGCAACTTAATACGGAAAACTTATAGCTATCCGTAAACATTTAAAAAAAAGAAAGTTCGTGAAAAATAGACTGACTGAAGTAACTTTTCCGCATCCAGGTGTGGAAAGGACGACAGAAGCCTTTCAGAAAAAATGGTCATCCGGTCGTCATAAAATTTTTTCCTCGTCTTCCAATCCAACGACATCTCCGACGTGGATGACAAGTCGACTATAACAAAAATGCGAATTAGAGTAGTTCACAAATGGAAACGGAACAAATTTTGTGCAATAACTCCAACGATGGACTTTTTCTTAGCCTTGCCAATGACCAGCTGTTTATCGTTTTCTTTATGAGCAAATAACAGGCTGCTAATACAAGGTTTATACCACACTCCATAACTTTTCCACCGATTTTGCCTTCTTCAGATCCTCGATAGTTCAAATCGGTGAGCAACCTAGTCAGCTAGATATTACATAGCCCCAACAGAAGAATCTGGCAACCTAAACTTTAATCGCATGGGAAAAAGTTTCTTTCAAGAGTCAAGGGTTTCCATAAGTTCTGCACTTAGTAAATGAGATTAACCGTAAAGAGTTTAAGTGGGTAGGTAATGTGCCTGTTTTGGGTTGAAAAATCAGTCTGAGATACCATGTGAGGTCACGCGTGAAGATAGGAGGTCGCAGTTTTCACGTTGACAGAGATTTGCCCAGCACCAATGAAACTCTGATGTCGCTTCAATCGAAAAGCTACGAGCACTTATATGGTTAGATTAAAACTAAAGATATGTTAAAAACACTAACGATCGTCCGAATTCCTTTCCGTAAGAGCCAAGTAAAGATCTTTGTCCAACAAAATCTCGGCCATGGCTTGTCTCATCGGGCCACCATAGTTGACACATTCCTCAAAGGAAATAGTAATTGTATGTTTTCTCCGACAAGTTAACATCAGGTCAAAAACAAAGTTTTTTGGAATAAACAAAAATTGTCCATGGGTTGCAATTCCAGCCTAAAAAATCACTTGGAGGAAATTTATCAGATGTCTCATTGGGTTGACCAGTTTATCGTAGAAAGCAGCCACGTTGAATGGTTCTTCTGACAACATTAGTTCGCGTTCCTGCGAGTAGCGATCCTTCTAAAATAGCTCTTCACACAAACACGTAACTCGTTAATGTTTAAGAAGGATATTATAGCGAACAATAGATCATAGAAATTTTTTCCCCGCTTTATAAAACATATTTGCCTGGACGCTTGAATTGCCCGTCTACACTGGTTGTGCGGGCCTCAGCATAATTTCCATTGTTTCGGAGTTTTGCTGGTTTAGCTGTTGTGGATCTCTGGTATCCCTAAGTCAGCCAGACCAAAGTCTGCCCCAGGTCACTACCACACGTATTCGCCGCGCTTGTGGATCAGAGGGAGATTTGCCACCATGCGACTAGTTTGATACAATGACGGAGGTGGATCCTGGTATTGGTTTCTTTTAGCTGGACTTCCTGATGGAAACGCCGGACTACTTCTCACCTTGGAGGGCACCGCTGGGAAGATGAATCTCCTCGCTGTATGTCGCAGCCCGACAACCAGGAACACCTCCCAGCCACGATGAGGCGGTAAATCAGCCATTGCGAGGTTACAAGGCGTATATATACATATATATATATGAATAAAGGTATAATTTAATTGACAAACTCACATATCCTCTCCATTCCAAGAATAGACATACGACCAATTTCAGAAATATGTGACGAGGAAGAGACACAATCAGTGGAGAGGGAGATGGCGGACGAACTGCGTTTTCACCATGACGAGGACAAAAGCTGAAGAAGAAACATTAAAAAGGAAAACGAGACCAGATTCAAAATGAACTTTCAAGTTTTAACGTTGAAGATACTACAATATATTTCCATCTGTTAAGTGTAGAATATTTGTCCAAGTGATGAAATGATTCAAATGACTTTTGCCAGTGGGAGTTACAAGTAATAAAAGATTTGCCAAAAACATTCTTACCCCATAGGCCTGATCACGTCAGCGTTTCCGCAGTCACAAGCTCCACCTTCACGTGAGAAGAATCTAGTGAAATCATGACCTTCGTGGTTTGCAGCTTGAAAGCACGAGGCGCAAAGCGACATACCTGGGCAGTGATGGTTTAAACCAATGGTTATGAAAAGAACTGGGAGATAGAAAGATAAGAAGAAGACAAAACCAACTGTAGCGTCTAAAATTCTTAAGAAACAAAACCTCACAAGGTGTTAGGGCGCAGGTATTGCATCGATACGCGACGGAATCGTTTTCCCAGATCGCATTGCACTTCAACGAAACGTCCAGTTCATGCACTTAAACGAATAGAAAGATCAGAATAACTGTGTTCTATAAGAAATGCACAATGAAATCCAGGAAACATACTGGATGCCTTGAATTCCTCATGTGATTCTCCCTGTGCCAACAGAACACGCAGCTTCATGAACGATTCCTGTGACCGTATAGAAGGTAAAGTGATGAGCTTATCCAAAAACTGGCTCAGACGTAGTGCTACTTTCCTAAAGGAAAATAACAGCAGCGATAGAAAAAAAGTGCTAATATTTGACTGGACGACCATTCAAACGAACCCACCGCACTTGAGGGTCGGCGTTTCTTTCAACGGAACAGCTCGCATATAAGGGATATTCATTAAGCTTTAAATAATCCGCTTGAGCCTTGCAATATAAGACAGCATCTCTACAGCGCTTGTCAACCTAAATCTTCTCCACTGTATATGAAACGCCAGGAGAAGCGAAAAGGAAGAAAAAACCAACCGTATTGAAATCATTCATGCGAAGGATGATGTTATACGGATGGTCGTCATCGTCGACAGAACCAAACACATCATTCAAACCTAAAAATCCTTTGGAAATGTTTGGACTTTTAAAAATGATAGAATAAAGAAATGCTACCTGAATCGTTCCGCTCCAATCCATCTAAATCGGACTGGCGACTTGGCTGTGGATCGCCTGGCAACGGAGCCATCACCTCGTCAAATTCTGGCACCTTTCAATTGGGTTATCTTACAATTTAAGCTCTCATTTAATAAAAAGTACACGTCACACATAGTACTAAAAGATTAAAATGAAAGAGAGAATACTGTCGATACAATGATTTGAGCAATAAATCAAGACGAACGAGTTCACAAATTCTGTTACAATGTCGGCATATTACTGAAAGTATGAAAGTTCTCTTCCACCAGTAGAATTTAGCTTAAGGGCAATTTTTGGTCATACTTTAGTTCACAGAGCCCTCTCGCCACCAGTGGTTTCAAGGAGTGAAGGTCGTAGACGCCGATCGAACTCGTCGGGTTGTGTGTGACACGGCGCTCGCCGGTTGCTCAGAGCACTCGCCCGACGGTTGCGACACCATCTCATTCAAATATACAGTTTTTGAAACATCCCTGAATTATTCCAGGTTTGTACTTGTCGTGTCGTAACAGCTCTGATAGAACTTAACGTTGCAACTGGTACTTTCCCGTTCCGATAATTTCCACATTGCGGTATTTCATGATCACAACAGAAAGTGTTTTTCCGTGAACAACACGAGGTGTACAAAAAGGCCTTTATTCGCCTGACGCTTCGGCGCTTTCGCCTCCTTCGGAGCTGGATATTGATACGGTTCGATTGTCCACGGTGGTTGCTCCTTCCGATGTGGGCCTTCCTGAGCGCAGAGTCGAATCCAGTGGAGCACTGCCCGAATGAAGTAACCTCACTCAGGAGCGCTCCCTTACACACGGCGGTTGTTGATTTACTGATTTTTCGTTGATAGTTGTTTGTTTTTCTCCGGAAAATCCATTCTGCAGCAGCCGGTATCATTCTCAGCCACCACAGAGAGTAACAATATTCAAAAATCGACTTTTCTATAACCATGGGATGACCGATCAATATGCATTCTTACATTGATAAGCTAACAAGGGATCAATAAAAAAAACTTTATTCGGCAAGCAGTTCGGCGTCTTCGCCTTCATTGGAGCCTGTGAAGAACAAGTTGACTGCAATCTAACCATTCGAATGACTCCCATAACCCCAAGAGAATAATCACGTGACGTGGATTTTAATCGCATTGGAAGCGAAACAGCTTCGCACACTCACCACGCTCTATGAGTCCTGCACTGAGTATTCCACGTGAAGATCAACCCCAAACCTCACAAAGTTCACATGAATGAGTAGTGCGCCTCTCTCACATTACAATCTCAGTCTGAGATATTGTATGAGATCACGCGTGATAACGAAGCACTCAGTGGAGTTACACAGAAAGCGCTGTGTGCGAAGAAGCCATCATGCTTCCAATGTGACTGAAATCTGCCTTTCGTGATTTTTTTGTTGGGATTATGAAGGTACTTGGCTGAGTGGATTGCGGTCAACGTCACCTTTCCAAGCTCCGAAGGAGGCAAAATCCGATAAAATGTCTTCCTTTTTGAATAAAGAGTGTAGTAACAGCCTCATGTGTATTAATCAAGAAAACAGCGAATTAATGATCATTGTGGAGGTTAATAGAAAGTTGGTGTTGAGAATTACAGCAGGGGTGTTCCATTGCATTTCGGCACGTTCAGCACCGACCGACCCTTCTTCACATGGCCTTGTTGGGTCCGGAAAGCATGTAACCCATATTAGTGGGTTACATATGTTTATTTGGACCAGTCACATCTATTTATTCTCTTTGATGATATATTCAGCCACAGAACTCTGTAAAAAACTTAGCCACTCTGCTGTGTTGTTTTTCATGAGAAATTCGCCTTGGAGCGGGCAACTCAAAGCTAACGAAAAATGAAATTCTGACTAAACCATAGGCGTTGGCTGTGAGATGGCTTTAACAGATTCTAAAAAGTAGAAGAACCAATGATTAAAGAGGAAATACGGAACGAAAAGCAGGCTAAGCGATGGGCGACAGAGATGAGCAGGCTTAGTTGCGCAAAACGAAGCAATTAATCTACCAAGCTACGCCCTCAAAACGTGCTCTTTAGAACAGAAAAACAAACCTTGTTGCACCTAATCGTTTTCAGTCAAGGTTAGTTTCAATATTTTTCTATTCATTCGCGTGACTCACCTTATTCTTGTACCAGTACCAAGATTTCTTCCATTTAACTCGTTTCTTTGTACCCGTTATCCACCAAGGTCTGCTGCCAATCGACGTCTGTCTTCATGAACGTCCTTCAATGCTGGTGCTTTCAGTTCCTTCTCGAATGATACCTGTATTAGAGCGTCTCTATGTCTCCACTGCAACCAATTGCCGGCATTTATGAAATGAAGAGATCTTTCCCAGACAGAAACGGCAACAGTTTATCGATCTCGCAAGGATGGAACCCCTGGCTAACTGGTAGAGGGTTGAACCAGTAACTATGCGTATAGTACATGGCCTCTCAAACCACTCCACACCATTCACCACAGTCCAGGTAAAAAAAAAACGTGTTGATATTGAAAACCAACATGAATCATTGTCAGCTACAATTGAACAAGATCACCTTGATTCGAGACGTCACAGAAGATCGCTTTGGCGCTGACACGTTTTTTTGTGTGACTGGCGCCCGATTTCCAACCACTCTAGCGGTGACTCATATGTGAGTCAGCTCTGCTAGGGTGCTCTTCCTCAGCAAACGAATCTGTCCGTTTTTGTTCGTCTCTTCGCTCTACAATTCTATTCTTTTAAGTCCTTCATTGGTGAAATATCCGACATGTCTTCTATATTCTTTAATGAGCTACATATTGTAAAATAAGCGTCTAAGAATAAAATTCGTAATATATGACTCATCTAAGTTAATTTTCTTGGAAACCCGTTAGTCGTTTATGGATTATGCCTCACTTCGACACCACGAGGTTTAAACGCTCAATTAACCATCTATTTGTGTTGTTACAAAGCTGAATCCAAATGGCGATCGATAATAATTAACTTGATGGTTACTTTATATAAGGTAGCAGACGCAGAAAAAAAGTTGAATATGTGATGTAGTACGCTGGATATTGCAATGTCGCGCTATCTGTACTTAAGCGGCTAGTTTCCGTTTAACCAGTGTTTTACTGGTTGGGTAAATTCTATTCTTTATAGACTTAGATAGCTATACCGTTTCAAACTATGACCGCATTCGTGCACCAAACCTTCTCGACTGAAGGAACGTTCGTCTTCTTGCGACTGGATTTCGATAGCCGTAGTGACGAGGTTTTTAAAAAAAAATTACGCTTTGAATACAATCTTTGAAGCATATCCATTGTTCTATGCATGCAATGAACATTCAATAAAATACGATCGCAGTAAAATGCGTAATAAAGCTTCAAAACCGATTTCCGAAAAGAGAGCTGCATTGTTACGGTCGGTATAGTCCGGGCAAATTGCAGATAGCGGTAAGAAGAAAAACGACTGGACAATTTTTTAAACGACCTTACTTATGAAATCTTAAGTATTGTGCCTTCTCTTTGTTTATTTGTTCGCTTTTTATTCTATAATGAAATAATTTGCTTCTTCCACTAGATTTGTGTCTATTCGATCAACTGTAGTCTTGTTGATCATCGAGTGATTCGAGCGGGTGCCAATAAATTTTCCAATTTTCCTTGTCGCGTGCAAGAGTAGCCCAGTGAGTTCTGCTCGCTCTTGCGATTCGTTGAGCATCATATCTCTCTTCTAGGCTTTTCGTGAAAAACTCTGACCATCAAGTAGGTGGTATTCTTGCAGTGGGTTTAACATCTCGAGGACTCCAGCCACTAACGGCTCTTGTCCATCGGTTGTCGTTCAAACGCATTACGTGTCGTCTTACGCAGCCATCAGGTGTCTGACGCATACGTTAAGGCAGCAGGAATCATTGAGCCGAAACGATGGGCACGGAGAAGGGTGTTCCTTGTTCTCTTCACTACATCGATGATTTTGAAGGCTCTCTAAGCCACTCGTTTACTCCTGCTCAACTCTGGAGCAAAGTCGCTCATCATGCTGATTTACCGTCCTAGATAGACGTAACTAGAACATTCAAAGATGTTCATTCCGTTGAACGTTAATGGGGCATACGTAACCAATCCGTTCATTGTGAACATCGTTTTTGTGAGATTTAGTCGAAGAATAATCTTTCCATAGGCTTTATAAAAATTGACAAGCATTCGTTCCTCTCAGTCAATATTTGATGTTATAAGAACGATATCATCAGAAAAGCGAAGATGGTGCAATTGCCAACCACCGATCTTCGCTCCCATGTTGATCCATTCCAATGTTTGGACGACGCTATCGTATGTGGCGGAAAATAATTTTAGCGAGACGGTATCGCCCTGCGTAACTCCTCTTTTAACATCGACGCTAATATCGTCGTGGAATGTTGATATCTTGGTTGCTAAATTTTTATACAGCTTAGAAAGAATCTTCATATACTGAGTAAGGACTACGTGACTATCCAGATCTTCCATGACTACTATCTCAACGAAGTTGAAAGGCTTCTTTAAATCTATGAAAGTGAGACAGAGCGGTCTCTTGTGCTCTCGTGACACTTTAATGTGTTTTGTTATCGTGTGGATGTGATCAATTGTTCTGAATCCTTTTCGAAACACTTCTTGCTCACATTTTCTCTCGTTCATCCATTGATCTAAAAACGCAGACACTGCC